TAGCTGGCGATGAAAGCACGGACTGCTTCATATCTTGCCTTGCTGTCGTCGGAGATGTCTGAGGCCGTGTTTGAAGAAATTGCCCTTGTTGCTTGGCCCCGTTTTGGCATTTCGAATTTGCCTTTGTACTTGGGGTCTGGGCATCGCTGTTTAAAAACGAAGGGGTGTTTCCCACATCGTACACACAGCTTCTTCTCCAGCCATCCTTCTTGTTCCTTGGTGAGGGTGGATACCCGATCCACGACCATTGCGTTGGGGTCTTTCGGGGCCCGTGGTGGCGATGATGATGATGTTGTAACCGTTCCGCGTTGTCCTGCTTTGTCGGCTCTGAACTTGGACTCCAGTTGAAGGCACAGATCGAGGTATTCCGGCCATGTGATGGGGTCGGAAATTCCTAGGCTGTCTCGTGTGACCATTGCCTGGCGTACATCCTTGCTTCAGTGTTCAGCGATGTAACCGATGAGTGCAGTGTGCCCTAAGTTGGTCTTAGTGGCCCATTGACGGAACTGTTCTGCGAAGGATACCATTGTGGGATACGTCTTGCCGCAGATATCCTTCAAATGCTGCTGTGCATCCTTGTCCGGGTCGAGGATCCTGTAGTTCACTTTGAGAATGTTGACGAAGTCTTCCCATGTGCCAAGTGCCTGCCGTGCTGCTGCTCTGGTCGCATATTTGGACATGTATGTGAACGCGCCACCTTCCAAATGCAGCAGGGCCATGGTGATCTTGTGCTCGTCGTCGTTGATCTCATTCCACCGCATCCATATACTGAGTTGTTGGAGCCAATCCTCCAGACTTCCTTTGCCCGAGTAGTGTGGAGGCTCAGCAATTTTGATGCAGGGTTTGTGCGATTGGACCGTGCCGGACGTTTGACCTTGCATCACAGTGACGTCGCTTGCTTTGAGCGAAGCTAGCTCATGTCGCAGCTTGACGTTAGCTGCCTTGATTTCCATCATTTCTTTTCCTATGTCGAGCATTGCTGCCTGGGTCCCTGTGAGCTCGTCGTTCAAAACTATCACATGCGCATCTTGCGCGAGGATCTTATCCTTGAGCTTCTCGATTTCCGTCTGGAGAAGTGCCTCCTTGAGTCGGTGTTCGCTCTTGTTGTTTTGAATAGTTGATTCAAAGGCTTTCTTGTGCTCGTACATCTTGTTTCCGAGCACATTGTAGACCTTGGCGATCTCAGTGGTGACTGTGAGCTTCATTGCGACGATTACCCATTCACGTATGTGGTCCGGGACTTCCCCGGGAGTGGACTGTCTGAGAGCATCTTCTAGGTGCTCGAATTGGTGTCCATCGAACTCCCAGAGAGGTGGGACATAGGCTGGTACAAGTGATGGTGTCGTGGATGCTGGTCCTCCGACTTGCGATGCGGAATCCTGCGGTCCTAGTGCAGGTTCTGGTGAATTGCGCTGCGAGGCGCGTGGGGTGCTTCCGTCGTGTGCTGACTTGACGTTTGTGTGAAGAATATCATCCATTCTTTGCCTGAACGTGGATGCGTGTGCACGATCGTCTCCTTCCATTGTGATATAGGTAAACTAATACAAAAAGTGCAAATATCTCGCTTTCGAGATGAAGACCAGAGCCTTGGCGATTTCCTGCAGCCTCTCTTCCTTTCCTATCTGCTTGAAACTGATTCCTCCTATCTCCAGACAGACTTTGTTGATAACCTGCTTCTCGACGAATGTATATGTGCGCGTCCCTGTGTGTAGGTCGGCGCAAACTTTATCAAGCTCTGTGGTGAGGCTAAAGATGGGTCCTTGGTGCTCGTCCTTGAGACGATATGAGAACACTCCTAATATGGGTTGGAGCCTGAAGCGGGTAGCGTCTACCTGTTTCGTAAGGGTCTCGATGTGGATCGTCGGCCTGACTCTGGAAGGGAGTGGGCGGATGGGACGTGCAATGGTGTTTGTCTTTATGAAGTTGGGTAGGGGATGAGTTGGAATGGGAGCAATGACAGGGGGAGGAACTGCATTGGAGGTGATAAGCTCTGGGGGTGGTGCCGGCTTGCGACTACCAGTGGTAAGACGTCCCTTTCTGGACTTGTAGCATTCGAGCGGTGGGGTGCGATCGCGAGGTTTGCGGATGATTCCGCGCTTTATAATGTGCGTAGTATCGACAACCCTAGCTGCTGCGTGCTGCCTGTCTGTGGACGATGCGCTGAGTGACGCGAGTGTGAGGAGTCTTCCACGCTCCTTGTTGGTTTCCTGACGCTTGTAGTGGGCGTCGAGGTCGATCCTAGGGGTGGCCTTGCGCTTTGAGGCTTTGGGCAGCTCAGAGTCTTGCTGAGGCTCACGCCGGGTAGAGATCGGATTAGAATGTGTGTCAAAAAAGCCGCGCGCTACGGCTGAAACTGCTTGCGCTGAAAATACGCGGCTGCTTGTGTTAGACACTAAGCAGGGGCGCAGAAAATGTCAGATTGTTTCTAATGTCACGGTAACACCGGACAAGAGATCAAAAAGACTAAAAGGGACAGTCACGTGGAACGTGCCGCCCTGATCCCCCTGATCCCAAGTAATCCCCCTGAACCCTTAAGTGGCGCAAGAGCCTGCTGACTTACTAGTCGATGTGGCGAATGCAAGCAAGGGATAGAGATATATGAAGGAGCTTGTGAGCTCAGTGAGTGCTATCGGTAGTAGACGAGGAGAAACAATCTGAGGTTTCGTCCCCTACATGGCTGGTCTTATATACACGTACAGCGGGCTATCTTACCTAAGCTACCTATCTACGGGTATAAGCAAATGGCCGTACATGAAACAATAGGATGTCCGGAAGTAGAACAATAAGTGGGAAGATCGATGGTTGCCGCAGTAATGCGTGTGCACATCGTGCCTATCTTGGTTTCCCTTTTGTTCTCCGGTGTGAAC